TGGTGGCCATTATCATTTACCTCTAAAAAGTTATGTATTGTTCTATACACTTATCATTTGAGCGAACTACTACAATAGAGGTGGTAAAATGTAGTTATTTCCTATACGGACACTTATCACTGAATTATAATTAAAAGCGTAAAGGAACTTAAAGAGAACCCAACTAGTTTTACGAAAAAACCTTTAAGGGTCCAATTGAAAGTAAATCCTCGGCCTTCTAGGGATTTTTAGTAAACCTTTTTCACTATAAAGGGTCAAACAATTCTAGTTGCAACCTACAATATAACTATATAAGGATCTTTCTCACAAGTTCCTACATTGAAGTAGCTACCTAGTTCCTACTAAAAACTCAATAGGAATCTTTTTATTTATTTATTTATTTTTTTTTTTTTTACAACAGTCATAAAAAGGGCTAGCCCTCAGGAAACTTGCAATAACAACATTTCAATCAGTGATAAAAAGGAAAAATCGCTTTAATCTTTTTGAGAGCATTCCGATGTTTGACTCTTTCTTCAGCTTTCCCGTTGATGACTTGGACCAACATAAAATTTGGGAGTAAGATCTGTATATGAAGAAGACCCCTCTTCCTAGCACTCCAAGATTAAAATAGGAATCTAGTTGTTCCCTACTGAACTTGGATCTTAGATTTTAGTTCTCAGTAGCACTCCAAGATTATTTACAAACCGCTCCCTCGTCAGCCTCACACTTGCAGTTATCTCACTATAATCTCTCAGTTACAAAATAAATCCTCTTAAATTCTCGTACCCCAAGAACCAATTACAATGCAATGAATGACTCTAATGTAAGAATGGAAAGCAACACATGAAATCCAAAACTATATCAATAAAGCTGGACAAACTTACTCTTAAGTGTTCAAAGGTTTTCACGCCTAAAACTTACACTTTACATTGAAAACATTCTTGAAAATTATCAATTTCTTCCACACGATCACTTAGTCACGCATGCTATCAAATGTTACACAAATTGACCTTTAGAAGTTTCACCGACATTAACAACTAGTTGTGTTTCGCACAACAAAATCCCCCCTTTTTATACTTATAACAATGATGCCATATATCGGAACTGTAAGAATAATTGGTTTAGCTTGATAATTCCAAGTTATAGTCGCATTTTCTCAAATCTTTCTCTACTCAAGGATATGGTTAGAATATCTACAATTTCATTTTCAATTTGGAAGATATATAATTTGATGTTGCCCTACTCCACATTGTCTTTTAGGAAGTGATGTTTAATGTGGATGTGCTAACTTAGAGTGGTGCACTAAATCTTTAGAAATACATATTGCACTAGTGTTGTCACAGTAGATTGGAACACATTAAAAAATAATACAAAATCATGTACTTAGTTGTCCACAACAAATGAGTGTAGTAGGTAGCTGTAGCTACATATTCAGATTCAACTATGGATTAAACAACAAAGTTTTTTTTCTTAGATTCCCAAGAAACTAAGCATGGTGTAAGGAATTGAGCCATACCTGAGGTGCTCTTTCTATTGACTAGATCACCTCAGGTATGGCTCAATCTTAGATATTGATCTTCCTCCAAATTTAAAAAAATAATTATTTGAATAGGTAGTTATTTGTACCCTCCTAAGTTGAAGTAAATTTGAATATGGAATGGGTAGAATTTGAGAATTAAGAATTTAGAGTGTTGCCTTATGATTTTGATGATGACTCAGCCTAACTTATTTACTTACTAATAAGTGTTTGATTGTTTAAGTGTGTGATCAGAAGCTTTAACTAGGAGAATTGAGATGTCTTGCGAAGATATATACCATGAGAAACAAGAAAACACAAGACAAAGTAATCCAAAAGAGAAGAGTTCCCTCACAGGAAGTAGTGCTTTAGAGTTTGAGCCTTGAGAAGAGAAGTATCTTTATGGGAACCAATAAAGCTTCGGAGAAGAAGCTTCACCAGAGAAGTGAAGTTCTGTAACATGTAACATGAACAGAAGTATTGGAGTAGATGCTTCATCAGTGAAACATGAAGACTAACATATTTTTATGTTTTAGGATTTATGTAAGTATGAGAACTAAGTTCATATTCTAAGTAGCTGTGTGGAATAAGTCTAAAAGATATTTTTATGAGTAGCTTATAATTAGGAAAACAGTTGGTTTTAATTCTTATCTTTATAAAAGAAAAAAGATTTTAGTTTCTTCGTTTTTCATGATGTTTGTTACAAACATAAAATCTATTTATACTTGCCTATACTTGTGGATTACTCTCTATGAATTATTCCATCCCATACACTTGCGCATTAAGGAGGATCATATCTTGATTTTAGGACATGACTTGCTTAGTGGGTATATAGAGTAGTGGCGTCAAGTTGAAGCAGTACAAAAGCGTTTTTCCTAAGCTAAGTAAGCCTATAAATAGCTAGTTTTTTCAATTGGAATAACTCACCCTTGCTCAAATATAATTTTTATCTTTTATTTTCTTAAGCTGAGGTAAGAGTCTTATTCTACACTAGTGAATTAGAGTGTTCTTATATTCTTATACAAGAGTTAATCTTTTCGAGTTGTAATTTGGGAATTGGGGAGTTTGAGTGAACTCAGTTTTAGCTTTGATTGAAGCTAGAAGAAGAGAAGAGAGAAAGAGAAAGAGAAGAGAAGAACAACTGGTTGAGGGACTCCTTGCTTGGGGCTTTGAGTTCGTTGAGGAACTTGAAGTGAGAGTGTTTAGTTTGTAATAGGTCATTGCCCTATTCTAGTAAAGAGTTTTTTCCTAAAATCCCTTGTGGTTGTGGTTTTTCTCCTTGATTAAGGCCAAGGAGTTTTCCACGTAAAATCTCTCTTGCACTTTTGAGTTCCTTAAGCTTTATTGTTTTTATTCCGCAAAAAGTTTGGCTAATCTGTCATACTACAATTTACCCCCCCCCCCCTCTTGCAGTATTCACTGAAACAACATAGAGATTTGTGGCTTAGTGAAATATTTTATATACAATCGGGTGTATGGTGCACTCAACTACGTTACTTCAAAGTTAATTTTTGCTCTTCATTTGATGATTAAATGACCATTAATCATTTGACTGAGAAAAAAATACCTTTAAATACACCTTATTTCTCAATATATATAACAATCTCTCTTAAAATTTGAAAATTTTTGTCTCCTAAATTATTATACAACATAAGATTCTTGGTTCCCTATCATAGCTTGGTATAAACCTAAATATATTCCAACAATGGATACAAAACTAAAGCTATTTGCCCTACCACTCACCAAGGATATCATCATAGTATCATACTCCCCAAGACCCACCTTAACCCAACTATTATTTTAGGACTATAATATATGTAGAGAGTGTTAAAGTTCTTTAACGCACCTGAGTGGAAGAGTGGAGTTCAAGACTTGTAGGTTCCAGTGCATTTTGTTGTGACTCTGAAACTATTGATAAAATTGTTAGATACTATTCCTCGAGTCCTCGATCAGTTCTTGAAAGACATTAGTTATTGAAACAATGCTTTAGCATGAGTGGAATGAGAAATGTTGCAATTTGAATTATATCGGGTCATCATAAATTAAATCTTTGACATTTTTGTTTTGTTTACTCTCTCTGCCCCTAAATTAGAAGTCTATTTCTTTTTATTATGTGAGGAATAAATATTAGAAATAGGATTCTAATAAAGGACGGAGGGAGTATTAAAACTTCTTTTGTGTGTATAAGATCTACTAATGTAAAGCAGTGGTGGATCCATGATTTGGGGAATGGGGGTATGAAATTAAGTTTGATAAAAAAAATTATAAAATAATATGTGGAGTGCAATAAATTTTTTCCTAACTAAATTTTGAGTTATTAATCCATTTCACTATTGTGCTAGTATTTGTGTGTACGATACACCCATCTTCCGACAACGAGCATTATAAACGAGTAACTAAATATATTTGCAAAAAAAATGGATTATTTAAGAGACCAATTATTTGTGACAATAGATTTATTTGATCGAAAAGTATTAATCTGAAAGGAAAAAAAAAAATTAAAATAACACCTAAGAAAACAGTTTTTTTTTATATAAGTGGTGTCTTTGAATTTAACACAAAAAAATTGTGGTTTTGGGCTTCTGGGCTTCTGGGCTTTTGGCTACCTACATAACAACACCAATACGAGACCCAATATTAGATATATGCGGTCTCTTTGTTATCAAGTTTTTCTTTTTCCCCTTTTTCGGTGGAATGGGGGGTGTAGTTGTATGACTTATATCTCTGTGTTTCCCTAGATTTCCCTATGAATAACGGATTAATGAATTCAGTAGCGGAGCCAATGGGGGGCTATTGAGTACACTTATACCAATAGTTAAAGTTTCCATTACACTTATGTTCAAAGTTCGAATCCTCTATAAAATTAGTTTTGCATTTGCATGATTGATACCTTCTTCATACTTTTGTCCGTTGAATGTGAAATTTAATGATAGTTGTTACTCACTCCGTATTCTTATATTTGTGTCCTAAAGTTTTGCATTTGCATGATTGATACCTTCTTCATACTTTTGTCCGTTGAATGTGAAATTTAATGATAGTTTACTCACTCTATATTTTTTTAAGTGAAACGTTTCGACTTTTTGCATTATATATCTACACTATTTTGACTAATAATATTTATTTATATATAAGAAAATATATATAATCTTGTGGGTACTTGTTGGAATTTTCTTAATAAATATATAATTAATATTTAATTGTTATAATTTTTACTTATTATATATTATTAGTCAAAGTTATACATTGACATATGTGCACAACAGAAATATTTCACTTAAAAAAATGCGGAGGAAGTGTGCAATAAAAAAAAAAAAAAAAATTCCCAAACTGCTTAAGCTTTTCAGTATTATTTTTTTTCACTACAATTTACCTATGAAAAGATCTAGATTTTTTAGGTTAGTCAATAGAATTAAATAAAATACTCCTCATGGGTGGTCCAGAAAATATAATACTGAGAATTGACAAGTGTTGTTTAAAATTTTTTAACGTTCTACGAGTAGTATGTTAGAGTTTCATATATATATATTCATACATATTATGAAGTATCATTATAAACAAATAAAAAAATAAAGAAATCAATGAATTGGTGTCTTGAGATTGTAGCATTTTAGTTTGGTGAATTAGATATGGTTAATAATAATGAATCAGGCCGCCCTATCAAAAAAAATTTGGCTCCGGCATTGAAATGCTATGATTCTTAATTCTTGAAACACATCCTTGAAAATTGTGACTAAATATTTTAATTGACATCCGCATTGTATTTTGATTGTCAAAAAAGACATCCACATTGTATTTTAAATGTAGATGAAGTATTAGGCAGGTCACAAAAGATGGATATGAAGCAATTATAAACCTTTTACTATCCACGTTATATGTAGTAATGTGCAACTTTTGAATATAGTATGCGGTAAACACTTATGTCACCTCTTATGGCTAGTCCAAAACAATCTTTAGCTCTATCTTACTAGGGCCACTGCCCATGTCAAGTTCAAAATAACCCTTTCTTCGCCTCAAACTACTGATTACTCGTACTAATCTGTGAATGATTGAGGGGTTTGGAGTTCTTTACCTAACTTGCCTCGTTCAATTGACAACAATTACATCCGATTTCCAACTTAGGATTAGAACACCTAAGGTAGCAACTACTCCGTAATTTCTAAGATTTTTACTCCTAGTCTCTCCATCATTAATTACTTGATATGCTTAATATTTTATTGGCTAAAGTACTTCAATTAGCGAATGAAAGAATACCAAGAAAAATTTAACTCATTTAGTACTCGTAATACTTTTACCTTAAATCTTAAAAGTTTAGGGTATTTATCTTTTCACCATCATGGGTAAATTGTGTCAATTTACCTAGCCAAGTTCTAATGAAACGCGTTTGATTCATCCACGTGGTAAGTCAAGGCTCAAGAACCAACTGGCTTTGTTCTCACCTTCCTGTCATTTTAGTTTGTTCTATTAAATGATTGCATAAATAAAATACAGCTCCTATCAATATCAATTGAATAAAATAATTGTAGAAGCAATGACATGCACTTGGCCAAAATTAAATAATAAAAAAATATTAAAAATGTAGAAATTTCTCCCCAACAAATTGCCTATAAAAGCAATCTTCTGCACACCAAATTTCTTCCCCCTCTCCTCTCTTCCTTTCTTGCATAAAATTGCAATAACAATCTCTTCTCTCTCTCTCTCAAAATCTGGTATGTCTACTCTTAGAATCATACTTTGTTTCCATTTTCAACATACATTTTTCTGAAATTCTGTTTTTAAGTGTTAAATTATTATAAATTTTAAAGTTCAAATTCAACGCATGCAAGTTTTGTATGCAGAGTATATATAATTTTATATTATATTATATTTTCTCTTAAAAAGGACACTTATTGTATTGATTTATCAAAATCAAGTACTCCGTAGTAGTTCTCTTACAAAAGAATAAATTACGGAGTAATTAATTAATTTGTTACGCATGAATTATTGTATCAGTATGACTGTCAAATCGTCCAATACAAGAATTTACAAAATTCATATACTTTTGTGTTTTGTCAACATAGTGTTTTTTTGGGTAACTTTATTTTCGATATACGTTGTATTAATTCTAATATAAAGGATTAATTATTCAAATGCTGATGAGATGAATTTTAAAATGAATTTTTTGGTATTGCAAAGATTATTGACAAAATTAATTTGGTGTTATAAACTTATAATATTGTTTCTTTAGCTTGCATTGATTTCTGGTACTAATCTGTAATAATTCTACTTTAATCTGTCACATTGATTGGACTAAGTCTAAAAAAAAGATATTATGTCATACCTTATCTCTAACCATTTTTGAAATAAAATTTCATGGGTAAATTGCCTTTAATTATTTAACTAATTTATCTGTGTTTTCTTTCCAGAGCTTAAAATATAGCAATGGCATATGAGGATCGATATGTACAAGCTCCAAAATATGACTGTCTTTTGTTTGGTAAGTTTTTATATGTCATTTCAAAAATCTAAATAATTAGTGCTAAAAAAAATGAATGACCTTTTGAGATCCTAAAATACCTTAACTCAACACTACCATCAAAGTTACCAATACATATTCTCTTGAGAAATAAATAAAAAAAGAAAAAAAGAAAAAAAAATAAAAAAAAAGAAAAAAAATACTTCATATATGTACAAAGTATTCATCCTCTAAGGTACTTTCCGTACAATAAAAACAGGGAAACAAAAAAAGAAAAAAAAAAAAAGCTTGAGTTTTTATTTGTATGAGACTGTGATATAGTCATATAGATGGTTGGTTCATACTTATAAATATATATCAAATTGAATCGGTCTAATCTCTCTTTTCTACAGTTATAATATTTAATTTGTACTTATTATTTGCTTGGATTTGCAGATCTAGATGATACTTTGTACCCTCTTAGCACCGGGCTATCAAAAGAAGTTCTGAAGAACATTCAAGGTTGGGTTTACTCCATCAATTTCGTGTTTAAAAATAATAAACTCCTTCAATTTTTAAATGTTGTTCCTACTTTGACTTTTATTTAAAACGAATAGTCACGCTATAATGTTGCATGCATGTTAATGAAATTTAACTAATATTTTGACTAATAATTCCAAATAGATTAGAGTGTGATTATTTAGCTAGTATCTCTAATTTTTCTTAAGTAAAATTAATAATCTTTGAAATAATTAATAAATGGTGTTCTAATCTTTTTATTGTTTCAAATCGTTTTTTTGACAGATTATATGGTTGAAAAGCTAGTCATAGACAGGAGTAAGATACATGATCTGTCTAACCTTTTATACAAAAACTATGGCACAACAATGGCTGGTCTTAGGGTATGTTTAATTTATTTATTTAATTACGTCACGTAATTGTATAGTTTAACAATGATGTTAATATATGGTCTTATATCTTTTTAATGTAGGCAATTGGCTATGATTTTGATTATGATGAATATCATAGGTAAGACACATAGCTTGTTCATATTTTACTTGCCATTTCTTACATTATTACTTCTTTAGCATTTAGTAAGTAGTAAAAATAAATTAAAGTAAAACCAAAATATCTAAATTATTTTTGTGATTATTGTGATTTTTATAGTTTTGTTCATGGGAGATTACCTTATGACAACCTTAAACCAGACCCGGTTCTACGAAGCCTTTTGTTGAGCTTACCTATTCGTAAAGTTGTAAGTTACTTCATTATTCTTCGTCGATCTTTGTTATTTAATCCTTTTTCTTGAATATCGACCTAATTTACCCTCTCTAAATGTTTTATGGTATAGATATTTACCAATGCGGATGAGACTCATGCTATTATAGCATTAAAAAAGCTCGGATTAGAGGATTGCTTCGAAGGCATCATTTGTTTCGAGACTCTAAACCCGACACACAAAAACTTTGCATCAGACGACGAAGATGATATTAAGTTTGTAGGAACAAGGCCGAGGACCCTTTCAATTAACAACAATACTAACAATGACACTCAAATTTTTGACATAATTAGTCATTTCGCCGATAAACAAAATGATGCTACTACATTGCCCAAAACACCCGTTGTTTGTAAACCATCAGAATCTGCAATTGAAAAAGCACTTAAAATTGCCAACTTAAACCCTCAAAAAACAGTAAGTTTTATCATCTTTGTCATTTTTATTTATTTTCCTCAAATAATAACATCAATTATTATACGTATCACAATAAATATAATATACTATCTTTATTTTATATTAATTGTAACGATTAGACATTGTTTACTCATATTCTACAACAAATCGTTACAAATAATATAAAACGAATATAATACAATCAAAATTTATATCTCGATCATAAAATGTGAAACATGAAGATATAAGATACCGAGTAAAAAAAAGGTGGTATTAGTAATTATAATCCTAATGATTGGAATATATTTTTTGTCAATTTCAGATATTCTTTGATGATAGTGTCAGAAATATACTGGCTGGAAAACGTGTGGGTCTTGACACTGTACTGGTATGCATTTCTGAAAATTATTGTTGAAAACTTTGTTTTTTGTCGTTTTCCTAAACATGGGTCCCACACTTTGTTGTGATCTTATTATTAAATTGGGAAAAATGTGTTGGATATACACGTAGGTTGGAACTTCTCAAAGGCCAAAAGGAGCAGATTATGCACTGGAAAGCATTCACAATTTAAGGGAAGCATTACCTGAGCTTTGGGAATCTGATGTTAGGGCTGAAATCTACTCTGAGAAAATATCAAGAGAGACTTCTGTCATTGCCTAAATTCATCATGTTTTACCCTCAGATCATGATTGGAAATTAATAGTCACGTCAATAATGTCATATTAACAGAATTGCTAGCTAGCAACGTCTGTAAGTGTTGTATGATCTAGCTAGTAACGTGACCATATTTTCGAATGAATGGCCGACAGAGTAATAGTAATACTCTATCAGGACGGAGGAAATAGAGGAGTTCGAGATTAGAATATAATGCCGTATAATAACAAGTAAAAGAGGGTAATACATTAGGATACTTGATACGTTGTATCATAAAATCTCGTAAAATGTATGTCAAATAATGGATGAGTGCATGTACAGTTTTTCTCATGTCTTTTTTCCAATAATTTTGGCATGATGTCATTTATTTTTAGCAACTAGTTAGAAGTCCCTACACTTATGTTTCTTTCCTTGGCCTCTTCTTCCTGTACCACTGGAATCCATAAGCCAGTTGGCATTTGGCATTATATTATTTCTTTTAGGTTGAGAATACTACCATGCATACAAAACTATATTATTTCTTTTAGGTGTTTTATTTAAAAGTTAAAGGAATGGTCTACTTTAATTTCTCAAAATGTAGGTGTCATTATTACATTGATACTTTATAGAGAGAGTGAGGGATAATTCAGGTAATTAGAGCTTTCCTCTTGATTTTAGAGGATTTTAAGATCGTTTCTCATTACTCATCTTTGTGACTCTTTATCAAAAAATAATTGATACTTTATACAAGCACATCAATATTACGAAGAAGTATGTGTTGATGTAAAAAAATTACAAACAAGCAAATGACACTCAATTAAATGCTTAAAGTTATTCGTATAAAGCACCATTCCAATCACTAACGTATGCTTGTACGGAAAAAGGAACAAGTTCCTATCTTACTTTCTTGGTGGTACCGTGTATATGGTGAAGCAAAGAACGAAAATAAAATATTCTTTTCTTTATATATGTAATATGTTGGTAGTATGTAACAATTTACAGACATATTATAAAGTTATAGGATGTAATTAGATGGTTAATGCCCTTAATGGTGCATTAAATTACCAAATTCATCCTTGCAACTCTCACCATTAACCGGAAATTAATCCACGAAGTTCATCCTTGCAACTCTCACCATTATCCGGCCACCTTTTAAATCCATTTGACTTTTGGTGTACCTTACTCCAATCAGTACTTTTATGTATGACCCCATATAATTAGTAGTAAGCCAATCTTATGAGCATACATATCGATCATGATTTCTAGCAAAACTACCACCTAAAATAACAGAATTTATTTTAGTTCTATAAATTGTCCTAATTATAATTAGTAATTACACTTGATCATGGACATTCCGTTCATATAATGCCTTAAGAAAACGCCCAGGGGAGTGACTAGATGATTACATTTCACCTTGCTCACTAATATTTTGAAGAGAGTAATAGGATACTTAGTTAAACAGAGATAATTTTAGTTACTACCTCCTTTTCATATTATTTGCAACTTTGGAATATTTTAAATCTCACAAATAATACTCCAAAGTTGCAAATAATGTGAAACGGAGATAGTACAATAAAATTGTAGCCATAAGTATCTCTAATCTATACCGTTCATTGTTAATATATTCAATCACAACCACTCATGAAGTCATGATATTGACCAAGTTTCATTTACAGTGGATTTTTTTTATTACTGAAAAAAAAACTGTAACTTTATAGCGTACACAACAATTTTAGTTGATATATTGAAATGAAGTGAGGATCAATTTAGATTTTGTACATTGGAGATTCGTTGGCCACCAGTAAACTGCTTCGGGCGGTTGAAGTTTGGGCGGCATTTTGAGATGAATTTGTGGACGGTGGAGAAAGGCTAAAGAAAGATAATAAGAAACCGCTCTAGCCATAGTTGATTTCAATTAGTTTCAAAGTGTCAAACGAACTATCATACAATCACCATTTGCCAACGAAACTTGAATTGTTGGTCATCTCATTTGCAAATAATCTGATACATATATCAGATTTCTTTTGAATCATTTCCTGATTATCTACCCATAATCTGATACATTATATGTAATTAGATTTCATTGTTGGCCATCCATTATTTGCTAATCATCAAATATCATTAGACATTGGCAAATTGAAGGATAAGTTATGAATTTTTATTAAATTACTTCATCAAAAGCATAATTTTATTTGTTTAGTTGTTTTTACCATATAGTCAAATCTATAAATGTTTGAGATTGTTTATTGAATTTTGACGATTAAGATTGAAAGACTAATAGTGACTACAATTTTATAACAATGTTTTGGAGTACGTGCAAATATATTATAACAATGTTTTAGAGTACGTGAAAATGTCACATAGATAAACTTTTACCGTAATAATCATGTTGAAAAATTAAAATAAAATGAAGAAATCAACTCCATATATAATTGCAGTAAGTGAGTACTTCAGGATCTTCGAGTAATCCTTAGTACTAGAACTAAATTTGTGATTTAAAGCTATATATACAACTACATTTGGGTAAAGTAAGCACTAATGCTAGAGATGAGAGAAAGCTGATGTATTGATTGTTGATGTGGATTTTCTTGTATAACGACTCTCAAATATTTATAGGAAGCGCTTCAACTGTCTTGCATCTTTATGAAGATTGATCTGAAGTTGCACACGATTCATTTTTTGCAGGTCATATCCTTTTTTTCAATTGTTTCTAATTTGAATTCACTGCTCAATCGTGCTCTTTGGGTGCAGGGAATGCATTTGCATGCCTTTATAATTGGGCTGTTTGTGGTCTTTTGGGCCTTTTTCGTAGACTTTGGATTGTAGACATAAATATCATTGTTTTAATCTTTCCCAAAAGTATCTTAATTAAAGTTTTAAAATATGCTCCATAAATAAATGAACTAAACGCAATGAGTGTTTTTAACAGAGTTAAGGCCCTGTTCACTTCACCTTAAAAAAATAGTATTCAGTAAAAATAATTTCAGTTCAGTAAAAATCAGTAAACATAAATAAGAAATATAATACAAAATTAGTAAAACAATTTCAGTTCAGCAAAAATAATTTCAGTTTAGTAAAATTAATTTCAGTTCAGTAAAAATAATCTAAGTTCAGCAAAAATAATTTAGTTCAGTAAAAATAATTTCAGTTCAGCAAAAATAAGGTGAAGTGAACGGGGCCGAAGTGTATTTTAGGTATTTACCACCCCTTAAAACACCCTATTTGAACTAACAACCGATTTCTTCGTTTTTATTTAATCACCTATCACATAAAAAGTTAGATTTCACTACCTCTTTACTTAAAAAATATCGATTTTTTGCCAAAACTTATTCGATTAAGGTTATGGGTTCAATTTGACAATTTGGATCTGATTTGTGGTCAGAACAGCTAAAAGTATTGAAAATGCTTTCTTTTTAGTGTGCCACACAACCCGAGGTCATTCTTACAGGCCCGTTCTTGAGATTTTGGTGGCTTATGGGCAAAATTACAAATCGGGCCCTAGGATAACAAGAGAAACAAAAAATAAAAATATAAAAAAAAACCTAAAATTACAATGTGTATTGATATATACTCCCTCCGTCCTAAATTACTCGCAACATTTTGACTTTTTGCACTTCACACACCTCACTTTGACCTTTTTTAACTATTATATAAAAGCCAATGTAATCATGTAAGATATTGTTGGCTCTATTTTAATGTATAGTTTCTTAATATAAACTTTTATAACTTTTATAAATATATAATAAAAGATATCGATGGTCAAACATATGCATCGGCAAGCGTGTCCAGTCAAAATATTGCAAGTAAATTGGGACAGAGGAAATATTTCAAAATGATACTTCAATTTTTTTTAACGCCTACCGAATTAAAACACAAGGCTCATAACTAAAATTACAAAATAATATATACACCCACCTTCCTTGAATAATTGACACGTTTGATTTTTTTTACACAATTCACAAAACATGAGGTGGGTGGATTTAAGATAATATAATGTAGGATGAAATAAGAGAGAATGTAAGGTGTATGAGTATGGGTGTGTAAATGAATATTGTGGGGTTGACTTGATATGACATAAATTAAAATAAAGTGAGTAGAACAAAAAAAATGAATTAACATGAAAAATAAGTAGAACAAAAATAAAGATGAAGTAATTGTTTAGGGTAAAAAATACCCCAACACGTGGTCCAATTCCATAGTGACACGTGGCCCAATAAAGGACGACACGTGTCCTAATGGGAAGATGACACGTGTTAAACAATATAGCACCTGAATGAGAGAAAGCCAACTTACATCTAGAGGTCCAAATCTCGAGAAAGGCACTATAACGGCGCCCCTAAAGGACACTTGTCCGTTCCTGATTGCGCCGCCAATCAAAGTACATCATTCTAGGTCACTAAACCCTAGAGGGCACACATCCCCACCCCTATAAATACCCCAATCATTTATGATGGGAGGGGTGGATAGAGATATATCATTCAAGCATATTAAATTGCTCTAACTTCTCTCTACTTTCTCTCTCTAAAATACTTTCGTTTTTCGGTCACTAACTTGATCGTCGGAGGCGAATTTTCTGTCAATCGGAATATTCGTTGTTTTGCAGGTGTCCACAACCGTCCAACTATATTCAAAACTTGTATCCCGAGGGATTCCAAAAAACCCCGAAATAGTAATAACTTACAAAATATAATGAATCAATAATACGGAACCCCAACCACAAGTTCTTTAGCTGAACCTCTGACATCCAAACCCCCAACCTCAACCTTATTTTGATCTACTACACCACATTCATCCTCAATGCAATTTTGTACTAATGAATCTTTCATAACTAACATTTTTCTTGCCATTTCGAATCATCAAGAATTTCGCTTTGAAATTTCAGATTTAGAATGAAAAATAGGAGCAGATTTTAAAGAAAATGGAAAGAACAAGTGAAGAGAGGAATTTTTTTTTTTTTTTTTTTGCTAAATATGTGTTATACGTACAACAAGTATTTTACGTTTTAAGTTTATACATGCATTTCTCTTCTTTTTTTTCCACTTGCTCTTCTGAACCAATTATGCTTTTCACTATGTTATGCGGTAGGTATTGTACGTTTTAAATTTATATGTGCATAACATTACTCCATTTCTACTTCCCCCACGATGTATTTAATATCCTGTTCTTTTGAGTTGTTCTACTCTGCTCTAGTAAAATCTGCTCTGCTCTACTCTACTGAAATCTGCTCTACTTTGTAGTGTGTTGGAAACCTTGCTCTGCTGTGCTGAAATTTGCTCAACTCTGCACTGCTTTGCTCTACTCTGCTGAAATCTGCTTTGCTTTGCTCTGCACTACTTTGCTATGCACTGCCCTGAAGCTCAAAAGAACAGGGCCTTAGGTGTACCAACCAGTTATTGGCTTTAAGGGAATGTGGCGATATGATAATGTGTTCAATAACACATAGTAGCAACATGTAAAGGGATAGAATTGAATCCTTTATTACACCTAGGGGTGTTTACGAGCCGACACTAC